GCATGGGGCTTTGCTATTCATCACACATCCCTGCTGCTGATGTGGCCGCATTGGCAGGTTTCTTTCCTATTTGTGCACAAGACATTTCTGTAGAATGCAAAGGTTTTGCTTTCTGCCTGCCTCAGTACAGATGCAAAATTAATCAAGTCATTTCAGAAAGAGAAGAAAAGAAAATCCGGCATAAATAACACTGCTAAAACCAGCCTGCATGCTATTATTGAAGCAGAGAGACCAGGTAGAAGAGCCAGTAAAACATTTCACAATGTCCACACCCTGACCTATAAAGGTTTCTAAAGTTTTGCTGGGAGATGCCTGTTCCTGTGTATGAATCACTCCGAAAAGGGAAGGATCTATAAACAGGGAAGCAAGGAAAGAACAATGCTCGGGAGGCCGGCATCCCCCATCCTCTCTATGTCCTGAATTACACAGCAAAAGCATCTTAATTATTGACTCTGCTTGTAAACCTGGCTTTGTGAAATCACGAGGCATTTTTCATTGCGTATTGCTTCCTCATCATTCCTTCCTCAGTAGAATTTCTCATTTCTTTTCAAGTCGTATTTTTAAGATATTTTTAATTGCATGAGTATATTGAAAGGACCCACTTGAGCCACACATCCAGGGGTTGGCATAAAAGAACTGTTTGCAAAAATATCACATCAACCACAAGCATCAATCCATTACAGTGTGGACTGCCCTTACAACAGAGGCTCCAGGCTGACAAAGCACGAGACATGACCTAATGGTGAGACAGCTGCACGGCTGCGTCTGCTGGACGTACTCATTTGCCTCTTGAAAGTCTGAATATGCATCAGGAGCTTAAAGGCATAAAATTGTAACATCAGCTGTGGTAAATAGACTTTCAACAGCTATCTAGACTTCAGGGGCGAATTTTTTTGCTTTCCAACGTCCTAAGGACAAACCAAAAGGAGTTAATTCGATAGGCTGTTATTAGGCTCTATGGAAAGCAACAAATGTGAGGAATATAATTTAAGTAGAGAAAAATGTAATTCAGTTTAGAGGAATAATTATCTGGAGCAGGCAGGGAAAAGGAGGAGAAATGAAGAAGCCGAAGTACCTGACAAACTATGCAGCACTTCTTTAGAAGAAGGTAAGAGTCTGCTACTTCTAGAGAAAAAGTACCAGTCTGGGCTCAGGTCTGCACCCCTGAATCACGCAGGCAAGAAATTAAAGCACAAAATGCAGGAAACAAATACACTGGAAGCAACTCTTGCCAGAGCAATTTCAAAGAAGGACATATGCAATGTTGCTGCAAGCAGACAGAAAATTGTGATTTTAAAGTTGCCAGTGCAGAGGAAAAATCCCCACTTTTTCATTCCTTATTAGTGAGACAAATTAACAATTTTGGTAAGCCATTTCAGCACCCAGGCTCTGCTTCTTAGTTAATCTCACCACATTACAGTTTCAAGCCAGTTACCAACACATTTTGTGAATGGACACGTTCCACTAGAAATAACCTTGCTGCTACGCAGAAAAAAGCACAGAAACAAAACTAA